CACGTGTTGCTGGATCTTATTTTTTTTTCTATTCTTTCTACCCAAAGATTGGTTACACACATGATGCGCCTTGCCTTTATCCAGTAATGAAGATGCAATCCCAAACCTTGAACCTGCCTGCACCAAAACCATTTTGGTATTGATGGAAAGGAGCTAGCATGTTTTCATAAGCTCGATGCATATTCAACTCTGCTGCTCAGTATATGATTGCAATTTTCTCAAATGCTGCAGGGGGATTTCAAAGGGTTTACGATTTACTGCCAAGAAACATTGTTGCAAAAAAGGAATCAAATTCCCAAAGATCATTACCTTTTGTGTAAAGTTATTTTATTATTATTATTATTATTATTATTATTATTATTATTATTATTATTATTATTATTATTATTATTATTATTGTTATTGTCATCCATCTGTCATTTTTTGTACAGTTGACATGGAGCTGCCAGTAGAGTTTTTTTTTTAATTAATGGTTTGCTTGGTATTAGTTTACGTTAAGTTATTATTGTAAAATGCTGTTAGACCTGTAGAAAATGTGATTTCACTTTAATTTTGTAGAGAAATAAATTACCAGAGTAAAAGCCTAAAGTACACTCAGATAAACCCCTATTTAGCAGATTTTAGCAATGTAGCATCCAGGCAAGTGTGTCCCTTTACATATATTGAAGAGCCCAAGGCCCCTCCAGCCCCCTAGACATACAAAATCTATAAGCAGAAAGGAATCTAGGTTATAATTCTTGTAGGCTATAAAATAGATTTGTGTTGTTTTTTCATAAGTAAAAAAAAATAAAAAATACACTCAACTAATGTATCTTGTTATCTATTTAATTTGAATAACACTACATCATCTTGAACTTCCAGGATTTAGTTCTCTATGTATCACTGCAGTGGAGTACAACACTGACATCCAGACATGCATGATTTTTATGCGTGCACTCTAACTTTCATCAATAGACTGCACTGGAAAAAATGCTGCTACTACCTACAAAACAAGCTAATATTTCTCTCTAGTACTCTAGAAAGTAGCGTAAGTGCTTCACGCTAACACGTGCTATGAACCTTCTCCATTTATGTGTATTAATGAAAAATATGTACATACTGTGCTTGCGATGTTCTAACGCTAAAAGTAGTTAGCAACACAGCAATTAGCGGCTGGCTAGCTCAAATGGTAAGTCACCCATCCTGCAAACAGGAGGCCTGGGTTTGTATCCCAGCTGGGGGAAATGAGCTGCCAGTGTGGGTCATTAGGCAAGATGCCTAATGACCGCCTTTGGAGAGTGGCGGCCTAGTGGTTGGGGCATTGCGCTTGGAATGAGTTCACGCCCCAGTCCCACGGACTGCCACTCTGGCAAAGACCCTTAACCCCACACTGCTCCCCGGTGTCTTACAATGGCAGCCCACTGCTCCCCAAGGGGATGCCTTAAACGCAGACAGTTAATTTTGTTGCTCTGTACTAGTGGCAGTGTAATGGCAGTTAAAAAAATGCAGGAAATTAGCCAATTCCACTGTTTGTTGGATTTGAAATGGAGTCGCCTCAACAGTAAAGTCATTTTCAAAGAAAAACTCCAATTTTCATTAATACGTTAGGTAAAAAAAAAAATAAAACTGAGCGTCCACAGGGTCATGCCATAGCATCTCACACTATTTCTAACTAGGAAAACTGACTTTGTTCATCTAAGAAAAGTACCTAATATATACGAAAAATTAAAGCTAAGTGAAAGTGAAAACATGAAAGTAAAAATTTCCGTTATGAGTCATTTTTAAAAACTGTAAAATTAACGAAAATGAAGAACTGACAAAATAGCTGTTGGCCTTTGAGTGCTCAACTTTTTTATAAACTTACACTAAATAAAAAAAAATAACTTTATAGATGTTGTCCTGCGATGGACCCTGAACATGTTGCCAGTGTTTCCTAGGGCAACAAAGAGACACACAGAGACATACAACCATACACACACACACCTAAGGACAATTTAGAGGAAGCCGGAGTACCCGGAGAGAACCCAAGCATGCTCGGTTAAAATATGCAAACTCCATGCAAAAAGGTCCCTGGGCCGGGAATCAAACCCAGAACCTTCTTGCTGCAAGGCAACAGTGCACAAAACTGCCCCACCCTGCAGCCCGATAAAAATATCAAGGACAAAAAAGATTGTTTGCATGCTAAACAGACAACATTGACAGGCCAGTGTATATTCTGGCTGCTGGGTTTCAGCCCACAGATTGTGCGTTTATTCCAGTAACTGATGTGGCCACAACATCCTTTATATGATGGCACTGAAAATGACCTTTGGAATTAATTTTGCAAATATTTCCAAGAAGGGGACTACATTAATAATATACTTGACCTCAGTTATGTATTTTTTTTTTCTTCAAAAGTGCACTGACATGCTATTGTATTTAGTGTGCATCAAAAGCAAAAATGATCTTATTGTGTGATCCACTGGCAGCTGAAGCAAACAGTGTTTTGGATATCATAAGCTTTGTACTGTCAGTGTAGGTTTTCTCTACAAGGAAGATTGAAATAAAAAGCCTCCACTAGACATTGGCTGGTGTGAGATTTAAATGCTATGATAACCTTGAGTAAAAATACTATGGTTTTTAGTCTCACAATATCAACACAAATATTCAAAAAATAAATGTATACCATGATCTACTTGTGGGCGTTCACAATGGTCCAGTGGTTTACCTTATTGACATGTGATGGTTTTCAGTCCTGTTTAGGTTCTGCATGCTGTTACTATAGTTTTCTATAGAATGTCCCAGAGTAATAAAACATCCATGTTAACTTATTTTTCTTATCTCTAAGTTAGACTTAGGAATGAGCGTGCAAATACATGTCTTTTGTGTCTCTCTGTGTTGCCTGATGAACTGGTAGCCTGATAGGGGTTTTCCTGCATCTTGTCAAATGACTACTTGAGATTGAGACTAGTCCATCTAAAACCTTGAAGGAATAATCATCTGCACCAGATAGATATTTTCTCAAATTTCTTTAATCAAATACAAACCTTTTAGGTTGCCAAATGTAGTTTCAAAGCATTGTTATTTTGGTAAGAATTATAAACAGGGTTCCTTTAGTTTCCATATCGCACCAATGCTAAAAAGCCAAAATTTCTCCTTTTTGTAAGGAAGAAATTATTCTGTAGTAGCGTTCTCCAATATCTGAAAAACATTTCATTTCAAAACTGCTCCTTAAAATTGTGACTACAATATTAAATTTGATTTACCCACATTTATGTAACCTTTTGTTTTCTTTCACTACATCATAATGACCTCATCACTGCTTGTGAGCTTCATAATCATAGCTACTAAAAATGGTCAAGTTTTGGTATCAAGGGCAATGAAAGTTCATCTAAGAGGCCCAAAACATTATCGGAATGCAGAATTTGCATGCAATTAACTTTTTCAACCAAGTATTGAATCCAAAGTGACATTCGGAGTTACTTTATGCCAAAAAATGCTAATTTAATAACTTTGTACAAAATGACTGAAGTTTGAAAAGTGTCAGCATCACATTCTTTTTCTCCATACAGCTAAAAAGATAAAAATAGCTTTATCGCCACTTTCTTTTTATCTCAACAATAAAATGACTTTAAACTGTAACATCATCGCAGATTTTTTTTTTCTTTTTTTTCTTCTGTGCTAGCTTTACCTTGTTGAACATTAAAATACTTTGGTTGCCAGTCTTGGTCCCAAGACTCTTTTTTTAATCAGACCTATGGATTTTACCTAGATGATTAATATTCCTGTCAAGTCCCAGTTTTCTCCTAATCAACAGTATCCCAGGAGCCTCTGTACAGGTGTCCAGTATCTCAGATTTGATGGACTCATTGAATTAGGTTGTGTATTCCTCGATCATTGTCTTGATTCATGGATGCCTCGGGGCCTTAGTTCGCCTCAGGTGGATGGATCTCTCGCCAACTCATTTCGTGTTCTTTCTGTGTCACATGCTCAGCAACGCCGTCTTTTCATCACCTTAAAATTATCACAACCAATCCTCCACCTTTCTCCCCCTCCCCACACCCTCCTACCTCGCTTTCTCATCTTTTCAATATGTGCCAAATCTTCGCTTTCCTTCTTTTCTCCCTCTTGCTCTCTGCTGCATCAACCTCCGCCCCTCTGCCCCATCTGCCTCCCTACTGTTACCCCCCTCCCCTCCAGCCCCTCAACCGCTCCCTTGCACAAGCTCTCTCTTTTTTCACCCTCTCTTGCTTTTTTTCGAACGTGTAACGCAAACACACGCACACACAGTGTACACAAACACACATGTTCTTCTGGTGCCACACAATAAATCACAACCCCCCCACTAAAAATAAAATACACCAAAGCTCTTGTAAAGCACAGGATTTACAGTAGGTCTATTAACAGCTGGACAAAAGTAAACCACATGGAATCCGGTTCAAGGAGGAGATTATTATTCATCGATGAAATTTTACTCCCTGCAAAAGCAAACGCCGAGCTGCACTTGCAAAATCTTGCAGATATTTCAGGGCCTGGAATTTGTCATCTTATGCCAAACAGCTCGAAAATAGTGCACCTTTGTTATCTGGTAAAGCCCAGTTGTGCTGAACACCTGATTGTGTGATGGCGGGTTTACCCTCCTACCCCCCACCTCCACCCCACCCCACTGTTTGTACAGCTTATGGCCTGGACTGATCACATCCTCGCACACACGCACACACATGCACACATCTTTACTGCATCCTCCACTTGTCCTACATACAATATTATATAAACTAATCACTGTATCCCTATAAAAGCATTCTATAAGAATCAAAGATGCTCCAGGGAGATTATGAGTCAAATTGTAATGTAAGATAGCAGCGTCCATTGGCACTGAGCTTGGAGGGTGGAGGAGGGGATTGGCCAGCCAGCCTGCCTTCCTGCCTTGGTGCCATCTCTGAATATCTCTTCAACCATTTCATTATTTTGCTTCAACAGAATAGCCACAGTGAGATCCCATGGGGTAGATAAGAGAAAATGGCACATTGAGCTTTGCTTACCGTCAACTCAAGCTGGCATCCGTTTACAAAAGGATACTGCAGACAAGCCTTGCAAGAAGAGAAAAGGCTCAGTGCAATCCACCTTCAGTGCTTCTGCTCCATCTTCTTGTCGTCCTCATATTCAGTGCACACAAAAAGTACACCTCTCTCTCTCTCTCTCCCTCTCTCTCTCTCTCTCTCTCTCTCTCTCTGTTTGTGTGTCTTTCAGCAGCCCTCTTATAACCGTCTGTGTTCTGTATCCTCTTTTGCTTGCTCCAAGGCAGTTGAGACACTGCAGCGATGGGGGTGGAGGGTGTGTGTTTGAGTGTGTTGAAGACAGAGAGGCAGAGAGAGGGAGTGCAGGGCAGAAACAGAGGGAGGAGTCAGAGAGAGGGAGAGAAAGAGAGAGTGAGAGAGAAGAGGTCAGGATTAAATCATGAGAGTGACAGAGACGAGGGGGAAAACACACGTTGATGGCTTCAGCATCTTCGTTTCAGCTCTGATTCTGGTTGAGGGAAAGCCTGTGCACATTAACAGTTTGGCTGAAATGAAACCGCCGTCTGTTTCTTGAGGGTGTCATATTTTTCATGACGGGGCCTGCAGCAGGTTTGGTTGTGATTTCATTGATGAGTGAAAAACATGCAGGACAGAGAGAGGAGGCAGGACACAGGGAGGGAGGGAGGGCAGGCATGACGACAAAGGAATGGGAGGGGGATTGGATGATGGTGTAATGTGCTGTTTCCGTGCCAACTGTTTCTGTGACAGTGGGACCACTTCCTTTATTGCTATTGGCTATACCCAGGAAATGATAGAGGCTCGAGCAAATAGGGCAGCATACTAAGGGGTGGTTCCCCCTCCAGAGTGCCTTACCATTGTATTTCATCTTAAATTAAATATATCTACCTGAATGAAGGAACTGAGAGAACATAACGATCAGTTCCTCTTTCCCTTCACATACCACCAGTGTGTAAAGAGTCTCCTCCCTTATTTATTTTACCCACATACTCAAATAAACGGTCCAGCAGATTGCTCGAACTGTGGTGTAATGCAATTGCCTGAACACCGACCCTAGTGTCATAAACTACGAGATAATTAATCGGCTGAAGGCCAGAGCAAGTACACATCTGGTGGGAGTAAGCACCTTGCCTCACACTGACCTTTCATCTGGACCTTTTTTTAAATATTTGGAAAGCAGGTGGTAATTTGGGCCTGTGATTCTTTCCCTGCCACAATCTTGTTTACTTTTTATTCTTTTCCACTAAGTTCTTCTTTAGGGAGATTTGATACCACAGATCCCAGTTTTGTTCAAGTCTGAATGCAGAAGTAACGACTCCCAAAACAGAGTGACTGAAACTTTAGTACTCTGAATCACATATACAAATCTACCACATCCCTATAACTATAAACAACACTAGAATTCTAAGGCAAATTTAAAAGGGTTGCTATAACAGTAACTTTAATAATACTCAAAACAAACCATAAAAATTTATTCAGGAGCATTTACCCTATATGACCTAGCTTTGTCAACTTAGTGTCTTTAGTTGTTGACATTTCTATTTGGAACGTCAGACCTTGGACGAGGTGCCTCAAAGATCGGAGGGGAAATCATTAGGTGGGAATTTATACTTGGATATGAAAGGTAGCTATCCACTTTGCACAGTTTCTGAGTTGTAGGTATGATAACATTTTGTTTATAGTACAGGTATGTTTGTGTATATTTAACTGCAAATGGGTGAGGGGTCAAGCTGCTATTTTGCTTGACTGGTTTTATTGTCAGTAGCTAGTCATGTAGAAATTGTCAGTTTATTTCATCTACTATAGAATAGAAAATAGAATAGAATAGAAAATCCCTTTATTGTCCCACAATGGGGAAATGCTGGTGTTTACAGCAGCAAAACGATTACAGAAAAAAAAAATGGTCACAGAAATCTGGACCTTAGAAAAGTGTATAAGAATAACATAATAGAGAATAGTTAAATAATAAACAAACATAACCCCTTACATTTTTGCTGCAAGACACTGCATATGTTATCGTTATTAATGTGCTGTTTACATTCACAACAACTTATTTAAGAAACCCCAATAAAATGAGTTGAAACATTTACATTACCATTTGGAATTAATAAAGTATTTTTTTATTGACTGATTTTATTGATGTATAGTGCCTAATGACCACTTGAGGCACTTAATAAGAAAAACATATCTATTTTACATTTTGTTCAGGAGTATTTTAGCTGGATACTTCACAAGCACACATAAAGGCAATATTCCATTTAATTATGTTAAATTTCATCAAGTTTCTTTGCTAAAAAACGAATAATTTTGACAATATTAAACAAATAAATCTTAGTTGCCATTTATCTTGTTTTTTAATGCACATATGTGATTTTAAAAGGCACTTTTTTGAGTTAGCCTTTGTGGCATAGCCTCTTTAAAATATTGCCCTATAATATACATTGCTCCAAATTTCTTGATTGAAACACTAGAGGGTGAAAACTGATTGTTTTCTTGACAAAATATGATATAACTGGGTGTGGCTTCTTATCATTAACCAAGAAAGTGATAGATCTTGTTGATGCAACAAATTAGACTGCTCTCACCTGTCAGGTACAGGTTCTCTGCTGAAAACAAATTTTGGATTCTGAAATAGTTTGAAAGTCAACTCTCAAGCAAAGAAGAACACAGAGCGGAGGAAATAAAGTTTATGCCAAACCTTTGGTAGATAGTGCTAGGAGTCAACCACAGTGACTGACTCCTAGTACTATCTATCACTTTTTATTTTTTTCTTTCAGTATAATAAACTGACAACTGAGTTTGGCCTTTGAAAACCAGTTTTTGCCTTGAAAGGTTCTCAAAACTCCTCTAATGTTTGGTAAACAGGCCTCTGACTTTTATTTTTGGTCGTTTACATTAAAGGTCACTTTCCACCCATCAATGAACATTTCCTATGACTGTGAGACGACTCTGAAAACTACTCATATCACAAAACTTCAAAGATACTTTATATGAAAGTAAACACAGACCTCGTTTACGTTAGCTGTTCAGCTGTTCCTCTCTGTAAAACTAAAGCAGCTTGTAAATGAAAGCAAATTCAACCCCATTAAGTTATTAAACACGGAGTACCTGTGAGCTGCTGAACTTATTTTATTATTAAAGCACAGCAGGGGGATTCCTGCAGCTATGTGTCAGACTTCAGCAGCCGCAAAGCCTTGTCTGTTAAATAACCTAAGGATACAATTAAGCAGCACTTACTTTTGCTTCCACTTCTTTCTCAAAGCGGCCTATGTTACTCTCTTTTGACCCCTGCGTCCTCCTCAAGATTTCTCTATCCCTTTCTGATTCAGTCGTAACCTTCACCATCCCTTTTAGTCTCCTCAGGGTTGCTTCTCTCCCAGCTTCCCATCTCCCTAATCCTTAATCCTGTAGAAATCGGTCAGGCAGAATGAGCCAGCTTTGATCACACTCTTAGATCACGCTTGCTAATATTGTCAGCGCACCCGGATCCCACAGACAGAACCCGAGACCCCAGGGGGAGAGCTTCAAACAGTTGTTTCCCTCCCCCGGGGGGGGAGGGCTGAACAGTCGCCAGTTGCATGGACTGAAAATTACAACATTTTACTTTTTTATATCTACAAAATTCAAATACAAAATTGTTGGTTATTATTTGGAATTGGGTGGCCACATGGGAGTGGCAGCCTAGTGGTTAGGGGCATTGCGATTGGAATCCAGAGGTTCTGAGTTTAAGCCCCACTCCCACAGACTGCCACTCTGGTTCCCTGAGCAAAACTCTTAACCCCACACTGCACAATGGCAGCACACTGCTCCCCAAGAGGATGGGTTAAATGTAGAAAGTTAATTTTGTTGCTCTGTACTTATGACAGTGTAATGACAATGAAAAAACCTGAAAAAAAAGTACATGGTTTGTCTTTAGGTAAAGCTAAAGTACTTTTGTCTATGCCAGTTCTCCTAACTAGTGAATAAACTCTAAGCCCATCTAAAAAGTCCAGTCAGACTGGATGAAGAGCAGAGCAACTGAGAATATAATTTTTCAAATTCTGCTACAGATTCCCAATTGGACTTAGAACACATGATTTACACATGATATACAAAGTCATTTTATTGTTTTGTGTTGTTTTCCTGTTGGGGAGCAAACATAAAATCCAGTCATAACTGTTGTGCAACCACTAAAAGTATTTTTCTTATGATCTCCCATTCATGTTCCCATCAACTCTGAACAGCTTCTCTTTCCCTCGTGTAGAAAGAAACATCCTCAAGGCATAATACATATTTTAGTGTAGGGGTGGTAGTTTACAGTGATACACTGTGTTAATTCTCCACCACATGTATCTGCATATAGGCCAACCATTTCAGCTGACCAAATATGTGGAATTCTTTTTCCTCCACATATTTATCATCTCCCCTGTATTGCTAGTAGGAATCTTTAAACAGTACTTATTTTGGCTTTCTTTCAACAGTGGCTTCTTGCCACCTTTCCTCTGGGTGCCGAACTAGCAAATGTTCTGTCAACAAAACCTCCTGTTTAAGCTGTGGATATCTGCAGCTCCTTATAGATAGTCATGATGCATCTTTGCTGCTTCTTTGATTAATGTTTTAAATCCCCTTGCTGTTTTTTAATGTCCCTGTCTTTTTAGGTTTTCATTTTAGCCATTCTGTTTACACAGGCTCACTCTATTTTGTAATTGGATGTTCTCTGAATACATCTTTTTGCACCAGATCTGATTGAAGGAATCACTGTTGGGTTGAATTAAAATGCACACCAGTTTAGGTTTTAGAAGTTGAACATTTTTAAAAACCTGTGTACTTTTAAGCATCATCTAAGGCATCTGCTGCACAATGAGGTCTGTAAGGCTGCCTGGATTCAGCAAAGTTGTTCAGATCTCTTTGCCTACCTCGGATAGTGTTCTTACTTTTTACTAGGGATGCACAATATAATCGGCCCCCTATCGGTATCGGCCTGTATCGGCCTTAAAACTGAATATCGGACATCGGCCACCCCACCGATATTTAACCCGATATTTGATCAGCTTCTGAGTTTCTAAAGTCTAAAAAAAAAAAAAATACTACTTCTTCTTCTTCCTCAAAAACTTCTTTTTTACAGACTTAAAAACTTCTAAAGACGAAGGGAAAAAATATTGATACATTAAAATATCACAATATCTTCATATGCTGATATATTGCCATTTAA